GTGAAATATATTTATGTTTGTGGTTGTAATGTGACAAAATATGGAAAAGTTCAAGGGGTATGAATACTTTTGCAAACCACTGTAGATCTAGAGCTAAATATGTTGATGTGGTTTAGATCTTGGCTGTGTATCATATAGTGAAATTATTTTACAACAGTATAACCTTACTGTAGCATCTTTAGATTGCTACAGAACTCTGTCCACTGACTGTCAGAGACAAGACCAGTTTCTTCCTCCAGGCCATCACCATCATCACCAGCTGATCATCAGACATCCATCAGCTACATCATATATTCTATACTACAGAGAACTACAGTATCTATCACTCTTATTATACATTACTGCACCTTACTCATAATCATCGACCTCTACACTGCTGCTGTTGTACTAATATTTAATATTCACTCTGCATACTGCTGTCATATTGCTTTTTTGTGAATAACACTGTAAAGCACACCACACAGATATATCCTGGTATAGTGAAGTAATGTGTATCTTTCTGTATATTGTGTACAATGTGTAAAATATATGTAAAGTATCTGTATAGTGTTAATACCAGAGAGACACGAACAGCTGGAAACAAACTCCTTGTGTGTGTCAACATACTTGGCCAATAAACCTGATTCTGATTCTATTTTAGGCACTAATTCAAACATTTGAGTGCCGTAAAAGTTCTGGACAATTTTGTGCTTTATCTAATTAGAAGTTGGCTCATCACCAATCCAATAAATAAATAAATAAATAAATAAATAACACTTTAAGATGCGTAACAATCTAATTTCTAAAGTTTGAGAACCTGTTTCATCGTTAACTTTTTTCGGTTGCCCCCAAACAGTTCCTTAAATCTTTGCGGGCTGTTTCTGGTAGGCAGCCCTAAACGGTATCCACGAAATAGTCCATGAGGTGTGTTTAAAATAATTATCTAAACCAAATATTCTTTAAGAAATGGCACATTTATAAGCAGATATTTAATAAGCAAAGAGAGGCAGAAAGTAGAGGCAGTTAGCTAAAGCTAAAAATCTTTTCATGGAGTGGATGTGGAGTTTTCTGCACACAAAGGACTCCCCAGGCTGAACGGTTCTGAGCCCGGTGGACCAGGAAACTCAGTACCTGAAGTTTGTGGAGCTCCATCTTCTTAGCTGTGAGGTCGTAAAGTTTTGTGCTGCTTTCCTGCACTGTCATCTCAGTGGCATTCAAACAGTGCTGAAGAGGCTCCACACTCTCTTCAAAATCCTTCATCTGAAAGAGGAGGTTCTGAAATCCAAAGAACAGGAACAAAACTCAAGAATTAAAAAAATTATGATGGGTAGGTCGTGCAGTGATTTGTTTAGTTAAGATGAGCAAGTCCGAAGTATTGATAAAAATCACAACTATCTATCTTTTTAAATTGGCACTTGGTAGAGACGTGCTGTTTCCTGTTGAGCCCATTTCCACCTGAATAGACAGCTCTCTGCTAATGTACTTTATTTTGATAGAGTTATGAAATATATAGAAACTAAGGTCACAGTTGAGCTCATCTCCCTTTCTGTTGGAGGAAACTAAAGAAAACCCAAAAATTTACATTTTCTGTAAAAATATTGTGAATTTGATTCTATTCAGTCTATGACACAGCTAAAATTAACTGAGACTAAGTTAGTAAAGCTAAAATATGATATGGGCTAGCTAAAAATAAAAACAGTAAAATGCTAGCTAAAATCATGAAAAAGAGCTAAAAGTATCAAAAGCCTAATTTAATATACAATATCAAAATGTTAGCTAAAAATTTCAAGTATTAAAAGAAGCAGTTGAAAAAAGCAAAATGAAAGCTCAAATCTAAAAGTATCAAAAGTCTACATGAAAGCAAAAAGGTAGCAGAATCGTTGCTAAAAATTAGCAATAGACTAGCCTAAACCAAAAAGTAGCAAAAAAGCTAGTTAAATACTAGAAGTATTCAAACAGTAACTGAAAGTTAAAAGTAGCAAAAGATCATGTAAAAGCAATATGATGCTAACTAAATGTAGCTAGAAACTGCAGAAGTAGAGTAAATAAACTGAAGCAGATTTTTAGAGAACAATTTTCTTGAAGGAATTAAAGAAATGTGTTTATTAAGAAAATATTTTTAAGCTTAAGCATTTCAAAATTATAAAAAGTAAAAAAAAAAAGCACACATTGCCTGAATGAGTCAAACATGTCGATAAACTGTATGAATGATAAAAATAATATGAAGTACGAAGAAGTAGTTAGTTTACAAAAATTAAAAATAAAACACATGAAAACATTAAAGTGGCTCAGCATCACACAGTAATGC